TATATATGTGTATATATATATATGTATGTATATCATTACTATCTGTTTCTCAAAGGGCTTATGTTCTATTACTTTCAAGGTGTTCTAGTTACCTTGGCCATAGAGGATGTAATATAATTGTCAGAAAAATTCTTTTTCTTGCAAATATTTGGAAAGCTTGATCTATGAATAGCTTGTAATGAGAGACAGTTTACAGTGTCATTCAGAAGTCTCTTGATGTGTGGATCTGATTTTTAAAGAAAAAATCTATTGTAAAATTTCTGGGAAAATTATGAAGAAACAGGCTTTTAAGAAAGAATTAAATAAACAGGTGTAATTGAGCAGAGCAGTTCTTCCAGTCTTTGCTAGAGCTATGCAGATTCTTAGGGTTATAAACATGATTTTGAGTGTATGTGTATTAGAATCTTATTTCACAGAAACTGAGAAACTGGAATGAGAGTAGCTGTTGGCAGAAGTGCAGGGATGTACTATTTTTTGGTCATTCTTTACTTCCAGAAATTTTGAAAATTAAAACAATGTGGACGTTCATTGTGGGGTTAAAATGAGTAATAACATTGTGGGTTTACAGTACAGTGACTAACGCAAAACTTCAGAGAAGGTCTTTTTAAGACCCTGACCTAGCAAAGCATGCTTAAATATGTGAGTGGTTGTATGATTTCTCTCCTAATTATGAAGGAGGAGTATGTTCACTGATATGGCCATTTATTACCGCATAGTCATCAATTACATCTTAAAGTAATTTTTCTTCCCCTGCTGTCTCCCAATTATTGTTGCAGAATACTGTTTAACTCTTTAAGCTCCTTGGTTTTGCCTTTCTTTAGAAAAAGAAATCTGCTGCAACAGATGGTTGTTTTGTTTCATCATGTTGTTAGGCCATCTGTTCCCACAGTCAGATGGGAGAAGACAGATTTATCACATCTCACTCAGTGAGAGTGAGACTCACTCAGTTGGTTTCCGTCTCACACAACCTTACGGGCTTCTCCCTCACTCATTTACAGCTCTCTAGCATAATTTAGTGCTGGGCTGCAGCTGGTCTAGGCCATAAAGCTAGCAGTAGTGATACACTGCAGCAGCCTGGGCAATGTCTTGTGGGCTTAGTAGCCTCCCTAGGAGGTTTTCCAAGGGCATGGTTGTTCACCACCATTGTCTCCCCCTGCACCCCAGCCAGGTAGTTCACAGGTGTGAGGAAATACTGAAGGTGTCTGTAAGGCTGTGGTAGGTGTGTATAGCCCCACTAGAGGGATGATGCTATTTGAATAAGGTGTACAGGGTCTGCTTCTGTCCTTCCTGTTCCCTCAAATTTTTATGGATGTTAGTTTCCAGAGAATTTATCACACAACTGGAGTTGGTGCTTCAGTTAAAGTGGGATTTCTCTGACCAAATGGAATTTTGCACTTCTACTGAATTTGTCAGATAAAATCTGACTAATTCATGTTTCTCTGGAGATGTTCCTTCAGCATACACACAGTGGCTGAGATGAGGTGTCATTAATCGGAAACTGCAGCAATGAATATACAGAACTTCATCTTGACAAATTTGCTGCTAATCCTTTTTCTTCATAAAATTTTATTGTCTGTAATATTGTCTGTCTTGCTTAAACAAATGGGTGGAAGGAGAAGGTGAAGGAAAAGCAGTAATACTTACAGCTTAGCACTTACATATTTGCAGAAATTGTAGAGATTTCTTTTAAAATAAATTATTTTGGTGAATCCCATAACATTTTCTTCGTTTAAATGGGCCTACCTGTTTTAGTTGTATATGGCAGGGAACTTCCTGAGGAAACAACAAACAGACAAGCATTTTTCTGTCAAGTGAAGTGAGAATATTCAGAAGCTGTAGGGTCAAGTGTTAGGGTTTTGATGGAGCTATGAGTGCTGCAGTAGCAAAAAGTCCCCTCTGATCTGTAGGTAGCCATAATGGCCTTTTGAAAGCAGTAATTTTTTGGGGATTTTTTAGTAGCTTTTCTCCTATCACTTTTAAATTTTTTTTTTTATTTATGACATTCTGGTAATCTAAAGGGTAAAGAAATTCATGGAAGACACTTTAGGTGACACAAATTTTACATGGCCTTAGTGACCACTTGAGACTTTCAGCTTTCTGTGGGCTGTAGCCTCCATGGTGTTGGAAAGAAAACTAAGTGGACTTAAACCCTACAGTTTTCTGTTCTGTTGCTGAGTGGGGTCATCAGGGGTCCCAGCTTCTCTCCAAGCTGCTGAACATAGATAGCAAAATGACAATGAGTTTGCATTTCCTTTCTGTTTCCCTACTGCAGTCTTTGGCTTGCTTTTTTCCTCTGTTTGCCTGAGAAGGCTTATGCTTTGACTTACAAGTGCAGGATAATAAGAAGATTATTTTTGACAAGACTTCTCCTCCACAGTTTGCTCCTGGGACAGGAGGAGGCTTTAAAAAATAAGCTTAAACAAAACTGTGATTTCCCCCCCCCCCCGCTTCACTGTACCCGAACTGAATTTATCTTTTGTAATAGAACAGCAAAGATCGTATTCTAGAAAAAGATATTAATAAATCAGATTAGTTGAATTACATTTTCTACAATTTTTTGATGCAAAACATAACCCACAACGAACTACTACTGTTTTCTTTCATCGTGGCAGCTACAGCTTATAGAAAATAGGAATGGTGGCTAGGAATATTGTCTATATCAAGTGATTAGCTTTGTAAGAAAATAACCAGTCCAAAATGCCTTGACTTTGTGGACATTTAGGCATGTTGTTTTGCATGTTTTCTTGTGGAAGAGGAGCTGCATATATTATGAAAGAAAACTTACGTTTAATTGTGCATAGAACTGACTTTAGTTTTACTGCTTTTGAACTGGGGGTGTGTGTGTCTTAGTTTTATTTCTTCAGAGATCTTTATCTTTTTCAGTAATTTGCTAGGTATTTAAAGGAATAAACCACAGAATTTCATTCTTATTGGCTAATTTACTTTTTTTTCTCTCAGGAAAAGATCATGTCTGTAGATTCATTGGATGTGGACGGAATGACAGATTTAACTATGTGGTCATGCAGTTGCAGGTTGGTGTATCAAACAGAGCTCAGTGCTTGCTTGTATGTGTTGATTTATTAGGCAAGCATGTGTGAAAATACCAGGATAGTCTTAGAGGGTGACAGATCAAAAAAACCAACCGAAGATCATGAACACATAGCTTGAGCAAATCTATATTGAGCATATCCTTACATTTTTATCCTTTGATATCCTATTGATAATTCAAAAAGTACAAAGTTTGCATCCTGAGAAACACCTGACTGTTGAAAGAGTGAACTCTGATGTCTTCTAAGATAATTTACATCCCTTTTAAGTCTTCACCTGAAGATCAGTCTAAAATGTATTATATTAATCTGTGTGTTTTGTTGGCTTTTTTTGATAAAAGTGAAAAAATACGCTTTGCAAGTAAAAGAAAATACTTAATTGACTTTATTGAAAGACTCGTTCCTGGGAAAAGGAATAAAATGGGTGATTAGTACTTACAGTTATGGTATTTTTGTCCTTTGTCATCTTGGTGAATATGAATACTGGAAAAAGTGTGCTCTAGATCACACTGTTGGTCATCTGTTATTTTGGCAGACCAACAGTTCTGTGATGTCATGGGGTTGCATCCTACATAGTACATTTTTCATCTGCTTAATATAATGTATAATTAAATTACATACTTTTCCTTAAAGAGATGAGTGTAAAGAAATCTGTGACCTTTTTTCAGGTGTGACACAGATACTGTGTTAACAAATAGTGCATATACTAGCCTTCTGATAGAGATTAGTTTGGTTCATGTTACTTAAGAGTAGAAAGATACTAAGATTCATATTTTCAAAAAAGTTCTTTCAAAGAATTTAGTGTTGGAGATACTTGGGGACATAGAGTCATTACATTTAGGTCAGATGTGTTATCCTTGAATGCGAAAATAGGTATTGAGAGTATTCTGTGGTTAACCATGAACAGTTAAAGAAGAAGTAGGAAGACCTTATGCTGTCTGTGAATCTTGGTATTAGTATTTTTTTTATGAAAATGTCTTTTTAATTTGGTCAGGGTCGGAACTTGGCAGATCTGCGTCGCAGCCAATCTCGAGGAACTTTCACCATTAGTACCACTCTGCGGCTTGGGAAGCAGATTTTGGAATCTATTGAAAGTATTCATTCTGTGGGATTCCTGCACAGGGACATAAAACCAGTAAGTCTGCCCATTAAATCAAAATAGGCAAGTAAGATGTGGTCATTGGATGGCTGCATAAATAAGAATAGGTTCTATACTAGATGTTAAAATGCAGAAATGCGAAGGGATAGGAAATTGAATGTTTATTCATCAGATAGGGCAGGATTTTTTCTATTAATTAATTTTGGATTGCTACAACAGTAACTTTGATCTTTGTCATCATTGTATCCAGTTACTTTAGGCCTCCTTGCAATTTTCTCTAGTTAGAACTTCCAATTCTTACCTGTAGTATTTGCCATGAGATATAATGTAATGAGTTTGACTAGTGGCGATGAATATTGTAAAATAAGAAATCTATAAAAATAGTTACTAACTGTAGGGTGTATTTATAAGCTCTTCAATGGCAATTTTTCTGTATTTAATGTATTTTTAAGAAACAAGACAGACTGTAAGAGAACTATTCCGTTGTTTTGTTGTGCAATTCTAATAAAATATGTTGTCAATATGTCATGAGGACAGTGCCTTCCTGAAAGTATCATGCTTTTGTTCTTTCTGTTTTTTCTGTTTTTCTTGGAATTTATTTCTGAAATGGCATCATCTGTTTTTAATATAGCTCAGTATTAAAAATACCATTAGAACTCTGAACTGTCAAAATTTGTAAATGAGGAAAAAACAAGCAAATTTTGTGTTTTCTGAGGGGTGCGAATATGGCTGGTTATAGCTGACATACATAGCTAAATTTCCTGTCAGCTGAATGTTGTTTACATAAAACCTCTGATAAGTTTCCCCTGCATTAGGGAATTTTCATCATTTCATCCTGGCAAATATTATAAAACTTGTATTCACCCTGAATCATCCCAAATACTTCATTTAATAGGGAAATAGCATAGAGGTAGTGAATGGCAAGTGATATAGGTGAGAAGGAGTTAGCTGGAGCTCAAGAATTTAATGATGAAAACAATTCAAGTTTTGAATGGGAAATGTTTTCCCTTATGGCTGGCAGGATGGACTGGGGACATCTTGCCCTTTAGGAGTTATGTTGTGACTTAGGCATGCAGAGGAAGACATAATTGCTTTCTAGTATGCAGTTTTCCTGGCTTAAAGATACAAGTCCATTATCTTTAATATTCCACTTCTAGACAGATAATACTGAAAGCAAGCTTTGTGCTGAGTTGAAATCTTGAAAGCCTTGATTGGTTATTTTCCTTGTGATGAATTAGGCAAAGCTGAAATTCTGTTCCATTTAAAAGTAATGTTGATCACGCTCATTTCAGTTCACAGTTTTGATTGTTTTTTACCCTTGATCTTAGACATCGAAGCGGTTTTGAATTTCAGATTTATTTAGAACTGTTCTGCTGTTTCACATAATGGAAAAAGAAGTGTTTTTTCTAGAGTTAAGTGTGTTGAACTTCCAACTTGCTCAGATATGTGGTTTCAATTCCATTTCGTAGAACTTGTTCTTAGCTCTATCTTTTTTTAATATCATGTAATCCATTGTAAGAGAATTCAGTGGGGAGAGTTGAACCGATTCAGCCACATGTTCAAACATCATCAACTAGTAGTGTTGTTGAATTTTTTTTGAAGGAGTAACGCGGAATGTTAATCCATAGAGCAAATAAGAAAATTTACTGAAGCTTTTCAGAATTAAGTACCTGGATAAGTTCTCTCTTGACTTTCCACCTCTTTCTGTTTCGTTGGCTTTGTTTGTTGTTTTTCTCTGTTTGGTTGGTTTTTTAAACCTGGTTCTTTCCTCACCCATGAGAGGAAAAAGCAGTTTGCACTCCATATTATGTATTCTGCATTTATGATATGAGTGCATTTGTTTAGTTTTTATGAACTTGTTAGCCCCTAGGTTGGTAATTTTTTGAAATGTGCAAATCAAAATGTGTGAGTGGGTGACATGATTGGAAACTTCCTGCTAAAAATCAATATATTCTAGTGACAAAGTAAGATGACAATCTCTTCAGACAATATAAGGCCGCAGTTCAGATATGCTAAGTTGGATGTCTGTTCTTCTTAACATTTTCTTCAAATTTAATAGGAGTTCAGTAGAACTGAAAATATGAAAGGAAGTATAGAGAAGTGGGATATGAATTTTCTATGATTGTATTACTGCATTAATGCAAGAACATATTGAAACCTGTGTGTATTTATCTGTTACCTGTGATTTTTTTTCTTTCTAGTCGAACTTCGCAATGGGACGTTTTCCTAGCACCTGTAGGAAGTGTTATATGCTGGATTTTGGCTTGGCACGGCAATTTACCAACTCATGTGGCGATGTCAGACCAGTAAGAATTTTTCACAGTTGAAATTAGAATACTTGACTGCAGTAGTATGCTGTCTTTTCTTCTGGAAAAGTATGGGAGTTGCATTGAACTGGTAACTATTAAAGGTGACAAACACCATCCCAGATCAGAAATGCCATGTGATTTATTGATTGTATTAGAAGGCTGACAGTTGGAAATGATTCAGAGGCAGAGGTGTACATGTATGATATTTTGGTTTGGAAAATCAAGTGCTAAATAGGTTTTCATTAAATATCAGAGCAATATACCAGAGCTGAATTTCACTTGGTATTTTACATACTGCATTTAAAAAAAACAACTGAGAAGAAAAAAATCAGACACTGAACTGAATATATTATCTTCTGAAAGAGAAAGTCTGAATAATTAAAACAGTGATAGGACACTAATTATAATATATGAGAGGACATAGTCAAGTGTAGTTAGTGTATTCCCAATAGAATGCAGTCTGAAGAAAATTGTAGCTAAAAACATATCAATGAGGAAACAGCAATTTTAGGTATAGTAGAGCCTCTCTAATTCACTGGCAAGCTGTCCTTTTGTTAATTTCAAAGTCTGAAAATGAGCAAGTCAGTGCCATGATGCATGGTGATCTTTTAAGGAAACGTATTTTCTTCATTAAGCTATTTTATTTTACATTTTGATGGTAATAGTAAGTATGTACTAGTCAATGCTAATTGACTAGTGTAATGTATTTATAAATGTGATGTGAATGGTGGAGCCATCTCCACAGGACTTTCAATTTTATTTTGCCTAAGAAGTTGGAAAAGTGGCAATTTTTAGTGTGCAAATCGAGGTACCTGAATTAGTAAGGTAAATTAGCAGGGTTCTGCTGTACTCTATTCCTTCAGCCATAATGCTGGACACTGCAATGAAAGCAAAGAGCAGGGGGGACCAACAGAGTGGCTGCTGCTGTTGGAAAGGTGAGCAAAATGTTTTAAGTAGTTTTTATTTTTAATTTCTCAGTGTTCTTGTTGTGTTCTGTATGTTTGGCTGCTTATAATGTTTTTTGAACTGACCTGTAATTTCAAGGACAAAACAATTCCCAGGATTCTATACATGTATGCACCAATGGTAGCATTTTCAGAAAAAATAGGTGATAACAGAAAATTCAGTATTTCTGCTATTCTTTCTTTTGTAGAAACTCAGCTCTTGCCTTTTGTTTTTCATTGCAGTGCCCTCCAATGTAACTGAAGTAATCCTTCAATTTAAATTCTTTAGAACTTTTTTGACAGTTTAATCCATATTTGTGGAGTGAAGCGGGAGGTAGGGAGGAAGGCAGTAGTTTTATTTGTACATAATAGTTAGAAATGGCTCTTGTAATAGAGAGCAGCCATAGTGTTGGCCTTGCTTACTAATAACATTTAATATGTTCTTCTCCTTAAGGCTGTCCTTCTTCTAAGCTTCATTCAATTTTTTTTTTCAGCATATACTGCAGATAATCTGGGACAATGTATAAAACATGTTCTCAAAAAATTAGTACTCTGTTGGTATAAACCTGTTCCTTAGTTATGGTTGACTATTAGAATTTTATGGTAACTTTTGCGTTCTCTATTGAATTGTCTTTATCTCAATCCATGAGTTTTCTAAGCTTTTACCCTTTTGATTCTTTCCCCCATCCTGCTGCTGGGGGAGTGAGCAAGTGGCTGTGTGGGGCTTGGTAGCTGGCTGGGGTCAAGCCACGGCAGGCTGCTATTGGTTATTTGTTATAGAGAGGTTTGCAGGTAGGAATTCTGTTGTCAGTTATCTTCCTGAGCAGTTATGGTGTCTCCTTAGATATCTTAGCTGAAAGAATAGTCAAGGCAGAGGGCTTAGAATGAGGAACCCTTGTTGAAGACCATCAAAACTAATGCCATGCCATATTTCCATACTAAAGAATACCCCAGAGTTTGCCCATTTCTGAAGACATCTCAGTGTCATTTTCAGAGATGATGTCATCTTCATACTACCCATCTTAATGTCAGACTCTGTGATGATTTAGCACCATTGAAATAATCTGCTGGGGAGTCCATTCATCTGTAGCTGCTTCTATCTAAATACTGCTTTGAAAAATGCAGATTTACTTTGAAAAGCTTCTCAGAAAATAGTATTTTTAAAAAAATTCATTTTGGAGTGTCACATGTGGACTATCTCTTTAAAGAATTGAGGAGCGCGTAGTTTTCAGCCCATTTCACTGTTTTTTCCCCAGTGGGATTTATATTAGCATGATTTTCCACTCTTGAATTAGATTATCTAAAGTGACCTTTGCAGCAGCCAGATGACAGTAAAACTGATTTTGAAACGAAAAAGGTAAGACTTCAATGAGATACATTGTAGTTTGTCCACCAAGAATATGATGGAATCAAAGAGGTTGCTTCTGTAGATATTAATGTCATCTTTATTCCACATTTTTGTAACCCCCAAAGTCCTTTCTTCATGAAAAGCTTAAGCTTTTGAAACCAGTAAGCAACAGCAGTTTTTCTGTGAACTGCTGCTGTAGGATGCACTGTTTTTTACATAACTGAGAGACAGAAATAACTAAGAAGAGAAGCAGATATTTCATGTGAATCATCAGTTAGGTTTTCCTCATTTATTAACTTGGGGACCTAGCTAATTATGTGTTGTTTGGGTCATCCATTCCATCTGATCCAAGCTTTTAGTACAAGCAGTTGGATTGCGTGGAGTTAAAGGGCAGAGGAGTTCCACGAGTTTTTAAAACTGGGAATAAATTGATAAAAATATAGAAGTATATGCTTTGTGTTTCTAAAAACTAGTTTCAAATTTCCTCCTTATTCTTCCTGGTTTCTTTGGTGCTTCTGTCATTGACTTTTTTTCTTTTTTTACATAAACTTCTTTCCTCACATTGCAGTTCAAATAGCCTTTTATAGCCTCACTCTAGAACTATGTCATTTCTTCATCAATATCAGAACTCATTTTCAGAAAACCATGAAATAATACAGCTCCAGTATATTTTCCAAATATTTTCATTGTAAGTGTCTTTATTCCCTTCCCTACAAATTGAACGCAGTTTCTAGGTCTTATTTTCACATTTCAACTGTGTAGGTAGTAATCTGTTGGTGAAAAGGGGTAGAATTGGTTATAAAAGTAATACAGCAACTGTTAAAGGAGGACTAATGTTTTCTGGTATTCTGTAACTATTATGTGAGCTGTAATTTTAAGTTCAACATTTTCTTGTGGGAAAATATCACTCCTCTTTATAAATGGAAGTAAGAGTTCATTTCAGGAAATTCTGGGAAGGAGTATTTTGAGGAATGGTTTTACGTAATGAAAATGTTTGAGTTCAAGCTTTATTAGTCTGCTCCGGTGTCTGAACATACTGCCAAAAGCAAATACCTTTTATTGCTCATGTTAAGGCCCTAGAGTTTTTAAATTATCTCAGGTTATTCAGTCAACAGTTTCCCACTCACTCCAAGTATTAGCCTTAAAATTAATTAGTTGTAGTTGCAGGCTTTTTTATTGTAGTATCATTCTACTACAGTGGTCTGCTTCAGTTGGTGAATCTTCAAAACTGTGAAAGAAAAATAGATTAACATAACATACAAAGCAAAAACATTGCTTTACATAGTTTTTCTTGCTACAGATACTTCTCTTGCAGAATGATTACCATAAAATATAACAGTTATAACTGCTAATTTTTAAATGGATTAATTTTAACAAGGTTGTCCTGTCTTGAGCTGTCTGAATGACTATGCCTGTGAGGAGCTAACTTAAAACAGACATATCCCTCTCTCTTTGATCTCAGTAATAACATATTTGTAAAATGTATGAACATGTTGGAGAAAGTAGTGAAGAGCTGCAGTTTGTTAAGTTGTATGATCTGACACTTTTCCATGGTTAGAACATAAAGATCAAAACCAAATATTTATTGCAGCTTGTGGGATTGTGAAAGACGAAAGAAAGGTAACAGCGAATCTGTATCATAGTGTTGCTTGGAAGGGTGTAGAATAATCCACACTTGTTTAAAAATGAAAGCATATGTAATGTTATTTTATATTTTCCGTTCAATTTACTTAACCTTGTTTTATTAGCTGAAGAACTTGCTCTGACTTAAATATGTAATGAAAAAACTTAAAACTTTTCAGCCAAGATCTAGAATTTAAATAGCATATTCTAGATGTAGGTAGTACTAGTGTTACATGCCTTAGAGTACAGATGAAGTGTACCTATTCTGCCACTTCATCTCTCTAAGAGAAACAGAAAAAGGTATAGCTCTTGCAGATAAGATCTTTGGAAATGTGTTCAGTCTATTAACATATAGTTCATTATTTACAGTGGGCAGTTTTCATCTCTGTTTTTGATGTGGTTTTTTTTCCGTACATGGATTCGTGTGCATTGAAGATCTAGTACTATTTTATTAGAGTGAAAATGCATACCAATATATAAAATACATGCCAATATATAAAATACATAACAAATGTAGTGCCTAAAAAGTAAAGCATCGGTCTGTTCTAAACCGTGAAAAACATAAACAAATGGCACATGAAGAAACTTTTCTGCAACTATGGTTTGTTCTCAGTGGTTTGCACCCTGGGTTTTTTTTTTGGTTTGGAACATATTTTGACCAATTACTCACTTGGGCAAGCTTGGACAGTGATATATGTGTAGCTGGGAATGGGATGAAGAATATGGAAACTTGTACAATAGTGTTAGTGTATAGGCTTCTGAAACTAAATTTTACGTGTTGAGGACATTACTGGGATCTAAGTATTTGGAGTAGATGTAGAATTAAATTATAGAATGGAAGTTGATAAGGAAATGATAATTGGTGGGAGGTGATGGAAAAGATCAGAAGAGAGAAAATTGAGTGTGGGAAGGAAAACAAAAACTGCTGGGGATAATGTAGACTGTTAGAAGAAGGAAGGATGAAACGAGCAAACAAATAAATTGTTGGAGAGAGGAAGCTAATAATTGAATTAATAGTGTAAATAAGAATTGATTACTGCAAAGCAGGGTAATTAGAATTTAATGGTGGAGAGACTTTAATC